AAAACATAAGAGAAAATAACAGAAAATAATAATAATTTTTAAGAAGATAAAACATATTGTAATTCAATATTCAGATAAAATATTTTCGATAACAAATAATATTGCAGAGAATATTGTACAAAATTATATAAATATAAATATAAATATTATGCAAATTATATTTATATAAATATATAAAGCATAATTATATCAAGTTTTTTGTGAAGAATAAAATTTTGATAAATATTAAAAAATCAAATATTTCATAATTTAAAATTCAGTTTTATTATATTAAGTATTGTTTAAAACAATAGTTATAATACAAAGTAGTATTAATTTCATTGATTTTACAATAAAATAATGATCCTACATAACACACATATAAACAAATTTTTCACATAAATAAAATAATATTAATGGCTGCCATGATCAGTACAACATTCGAATTAACCCGATTCAACATTTATCGAGCTATTTAGATAGAAATATAATACTGAAATAATAAACTATTGTTCGAAAAATAAAACAGCTTAAAATTGATAAAAATAAAATTAATAAATTAATAGAATTAAAAAAAGAAATTAAAATTAAAAACTCCAGGAAGTTAAATAAATAATAAATGTAATAAATAATCAAATAACAAATATTGTAGTAAATATATATCATTAAAAATTTACTTCTTATGTAATTTATCTTGTGTCAATTTACTTTTGTTGCCAATAAAAATTTTGTATTTATCATTTATGTTTTATATTTACAGAAAATATTCTCAAGATTTTTCAGTCGAGCTTCACCGGAGCGTTTTACAGTTAAAAATAAAATTGTAACAACAAATTTTAAATGCTTTATTAAAAAATTTTAATATTTAATATTATAAAACGTTATAAATATCTAGATTTGTTTCTATTTCGAAATCGATCCATATCTATTTTTATGGATATAAAATATAATTTGATAGAAAATATATAATTGAATGAGTATCTAGAAGAATGTTATAGATTTTTAAAAATAAATTTTTTCCTCGAACAAATATAGAACTATAGAAGATATTTTGGCGAAGTTTTTAAGTTATTCAATGATAATGGCAGAAGCTACAGAGAAAAATAAAATAAACAGTGTTAAGAAAATTAACATATGTCATTTTAGCACGTTTTGTTAATTGTTTACTTCCAAAAAAAAGAAATTATTTTTATTCCTTATGAAAATTGATATATAATAATATTAAAAGTAATGATTTAATTTTATGTTTGTAATCAATTCTCATTATTTGATTATCATTTATTTTTAGAAAGTGAAAGAAAAACGTATCATCTTGGTTCATTCATATATATATTTTTTTTAAATTCGTAAAATTTAATGTTCTCTTTCTTGATGTTCATTCGATTGATTTGTTTTATGTTTTTGTGTTACAATTTTTTTTTTTTTTTTAGATATATAGAAATCTAAAAATATCAAATAACGTAAAAGAAATTTTTAGCAATTAATCCATTAAATTTTTTTGCTTGACATTTGTTATTTATTTAATTGTACTCACGTTTATATAATATCGAATTAATAATCTTTTCAAAAATAAAATATTCGAAAAGAATTTTCCGTTAGGATTTTATGAGAATCAATATTAAATATAAAGAAATTAAATAATTTTATATATATCAAAATTGTGCAATAACAATACTTCATATTTTTGTTATAATTTCTATAAATCATTTATTACAAGATAATTTAATTTTATATTTAATTATACATTTGTTTTTTTAATCTATTAATTATTTATATCATTTTTCTTACATTTTTAATTTACAATTAGTAGCAAAAGAATATTTACGAAATTTGTGAATATTTTTTAAAGATAAATATATACTCATTTGCATTTGCATTATATATATATATCTGTTTATTAATAAATTTATAATTATATAGATATATTTTTCATTATAAGATGACTAAAAAAGATAAAATGATATATTTGATATATTCATAAATTTGATTCTGGCCATAGAACGATAACATAGTTAAAAATAATGTTTTCATTACAGAAATAATACTGTAACAATACTATTTTATAATTTGTAATGAAAATATTCATAATGCATTTTATCCGAGAATATATGATTTTATTTCACTTCATATCTTAGCCCCATTGTGTGATTATTATATAGATTTATAGATTGTTACAGATATATCAATCTCCAACGATATATCATAATCAGGAAGAAAATATCTTCTAATTATTCGCGCTTCGTTATGGGAAAATTTCACGGTGACGTAAATCGATGAAAATCGGCGATTCTTCAAAGTGGATAGGTGATAGGGAAGAGGAGTGGAAGGTGTATAGACGTTCAAGTAGAGAAAAAGGGTACTACTTAGTCGAAACTGCAGGAGTCTGGAAGTCAGCAGCTATTCGGCAGACGTCACTGGCGCCAGCGAACTACCTTAAACCTCCCCTTTACACCCCTGCTCCTACGCCGACAATCTCATTCCCCAAAAGCGTCGCAAGAATTATAAAGTTGGTGGAGGAGAGCTCCGGGGAGGACTTCTTCCCTTGCCACCCACCCTTGTCATGCAACCATCCCCCTCCCTCTTCCTTTCTCCTCCCCGCATCTTCCACCTACGCCTAGCCACCTCGACCTAGCGACTCCATTCTCCTCTCTCACCTTCTCTCTCTCTCTTCTTCCCCTTCTCTCTCTCTCTCTCTTCCTTCGGTTCTTCCGTTTGTCTCTCCTCGATGTTTCTCTTTTTTTCAATATCCATCTTTGTCTTCACGTATCTCACCCTTGCACCATCCTCCTGCTACCGTTCGTTCGTCTTTCTCTTTTTCATCGAGTCCGCTCTTTTTGCTCCTGTATCAGAAGTTTGGGAGTCGAGTTGGGAGTCGGACGACGCCTCGTTCTCAACGAAGACTCGGTCACCGCAAGTCACGCAGATCCCAAGTCTGTTCCCCGTTAGCGAAATGTCGTGCGACGCTCCAGGAAGTCGTTCAATTAGACTCGTGTACTGTGTGATTTCGAAATAACGTTGTCGTTTGATCGTTGAGCGAAACTTCGAGCCATGCGGTTCCTCTAATCGGGAAATATCTGTAGCTTCGGATCGCTGGAAAATGATACTTCTTTTCTCTCGTACGAAAATTCGAAATGAATTTGAAATAATGAATAATTCTTCCTTTTTTTTCTTTTTTTTATGTAATTGCGATTCTTGTTTTCCAATTTATTGGGTAATTCGAGTCTCATTATCTATATCATTATCTTTCTTATTTGACTCTGAAACTAGATTGTCCATTTAGAAAATATCGCGATGTATATATATGTGTGTGTGTGTGTGCGTGTATATAATACATAAATTGTACGTATAAAAACATAAAATGCATCGTTATAATAATAAAACGTATAGATTTTGATTTAAGTTCTCGAAGCATAGAACAAATGTTTCATCAATTACAAATTATGTATTTACAATTACATTTGATATAGAAGAAAAAGAAACATATCTTGATTGTACGTATATATAAAGAGAAAAATATTAATATTTATGATCATAGAAGTTTATTGTACAAAAAACATTTTTTTATATTTTGATACTCCTGTGAACTTAAACCATCGTATATTCATGTTTAACCTTGCTTGTTTTGACGGTAATTTTAAAAAAATTGCTTGCAAATTAGAGAAAAAATTATGAAATAAAAATTTTTTTTCAAATTTTTCATAACTCAAATCAAGAATTTTTTTTACAAAAATAAAAGTATCTTTCATATTTTATATTGCTAAAATGATTTCATTGTTAAAATAAGAGTAATAACGAAAAATCAAAAAGAAAAATTTTTTTACAAAGAAAATTAGAAAAAAATTTCTTACGTTTAATACTTGCAAGAATGAAAACTTTTTTATAAAGATTAATAAAACAACAATTTTTATAATGATATAATAAAATGACAATTTTTATAAAGATTAATAAAAATCATTTTTTCTAGATTGATATTTTTCAAACAATTTAAAAATTAGAAAAATAATAAATGAAACTTCTTTTCACACAAAGTACAATCATTTATCATTTTTTATTTTATATTATTTATATAAAAAATTATATTTTCTATTATTTATTTAGAAACTAAAAAAATAGTTTTTATGTTCCTTCAAATAGGATTGTTTTACGATTTTGATTATCCCTTAATTATAATTTAAGAATCTATATATTAGAAAAATAATATAGATAAATTCCAATTGATATAAAAATTTAATAAAACAAAAATCTAAAAGTTATTTTTGATCCAATAAAAGTCTATTTTATTAATTGTAATCTCCAAAAACAGTTTGACAGTTAAAAATCAAATATTTAATGTAACATTTGATAAATCGAAAATACTTAAATAACATATAAATAACATTTTTGTATTAAATAAATCTATTTTTTATTGATTTAATCAAAAAAATTTAGAGAAATTTGAAGAAGAATTAAGAGCTTTTTGCAAAATTTATTTCTAATAATGGCCTCGTAATCAATAGCAATCGTTTCTGAATTCTAGCAAAATATTAAAATAAAGATATTTAATAAAAAATATCTAATAAAATATCTAATAAAGATAGACTGTGAATGATTCAGTTTCCATTTGGATGAAAATTTATGAAGTTAAAGAACAATTAAAAATATTCGATACATATTCTTTTTTAGTTATGATAATTTAAACTATCAAGTTTAAATTATTCTCCAGATTTCAATCGACAATCAAAGATATCTTCCAAAATAGTTATAGATAAATTTTTAACGAAAATAATATAATTTTTGACATAAAAGAATAAAATGTAAAAGAAGAAATTTTCAGAAATACTAAAAAAAAAAAAATAGATTCACTTTGTTTATTTGAAAAGATACAGCGATTATTTATGTAACAAGAAAAAATGAATATTTTATTTCAAAAACAATGATATATATACATAAATATAAATATATTATACAATTGTACAATTGTACATATAATATTATACAATTTTAATTGCCCACACAATTAATATAAAAATTCCATTTTTTGCCGACCACTTGTGTTCTCATATCAAAACCAACTGCTCGTAAGTTGCATCAACGTTGATTACTTGAATACATTGTATGTATTACACTTGTTGAAATCGGTGTGGTTCACTATTTCTGCAAGGTAACAATAGTAAGGTATATTATTATTATTATTATTAAAATTATTATTATTTCTGTTTAATATTTCTTAATGCTTTATAAATTCTTGACAAATATTCTAGAATTTCAAAAAAGGAATTTTTATTTTAAAACGTTATTATATATTTCCAAAATTTCGTAAACTTTATAAAGTTATGGATTAAAGAACTCTCTAATATTCAAATTTTATCTCTTCTTTATGTGTATATCACTATCCCATAAATATATATATATATTTGAGATATCTTTTGAGAATCGATTCAAAAAATCAAAAAATAATACTCAAAAATGTTGATTGAAATTTATTTATTAAATTATTATTAATTTTTATTACGATTAAACGAAAAACAACTATTGTAATAGAGAAGATAGAGTTGTCTTATTTTATCTCTGTTTCTTTATTTAAATTAAATTGTTTATAATTTAATAAATAAGCCTTAATTTTTGTGTTTATTTTGCCTTTTAGAATCGAAATTTTCAGAGAAGTTCCATAAACATTTTAATATCTTATATATTTTTTTATATGTTATTATATATTTGAATTTCAAATGAACAGTGAAATATATTCTTTTTAGAAAATTTGATTGTAAATGTAATGTAATATTCGATTCAATATGCGGAAGAATTTTGAACTTTGAATTATTTGAACTTTGAATCAAGATAGAAATTAATCAATCCAGTTAATTATTGACTTTCAAAGTTAAACTTGATACAAAAATAAGAAAATTCTAAGATGTTTTCACGCATTTTTTTTTATTGATTAGAAAATAAAAGCTTGTAACTTTAAATTGTTAATTATATAGGATAGGATTGAAGCGATAAAATCATACTATACAGTCTGGAGGATGGAATCATTTAATTATAGTATAAAGATTGTTGGTATTGAATATTAGATAGTAATTTATAGAAATATTAAAAAAATTAAGTCATCATATTAAATCATTTTTTAATAATATTGGTTAATTTATATTAATATGCGATCAGTATCGAATTTAAATATTAGAATATTTAATATATTAAAATATGCTATTATTTTGTATAATAATGATTATTTATTTCAAGCATTATTGTTAAGATATATAACTTGTAAAATTAACTTTAATACAAATCGTACTTATTTATTTATTATTCTAATCCAATTTTTCAAATTTAATTTGAATCAAGATTAACTCAAATCAAAATCAAAATTTATACCAATCATACTCTAAATTTATATTAAATCTTAAAAATTAATATCCAGGGAACTAAATTCGAACACCATTTTAACAATTATTTATATATTTGCATAAACAATTATATAAATAAAATTATTCAGATCAGTTATTAATAAATAATTAACTCGAAAAAATATCTAATCGATTATTTCTTGATTTACAGATATCTATTATGAGGTAATTAAGTTAATTTTTTCTTGGAAGAAATCGAGAACTACAAATATAAAAATCAGAACTATTGAATACAGATTAAAATCTATGAAATTAAATATTTTAAATGTATTGAATTTTTTATTAGGATTAATTATATCAATGAATAAATAATTAATAATATAGAAAATTTAAATGTGTCTATATTTATTATTTCTTAAAACTTTAATTTAATTATATGACTTAATATATGTATGTATGATTCATATTTTCAGATCAATGAAAATAAATAACGTTTAAAAATGACATATTATTATATTTGAAAACAGTCTTTAAATATCAACTCACAATTAATATCTTCTAACGTACAATTTTTCTATTTATAGTTAAATCATCGTAATTACACATTTGATAAACATGTTTTACACTATAAAAATTTACTATTGAATAAAGTTTTGATTGGATTCAACAAAAAATTGCATGCAGTCTATTGTTGTTGAAGGACATTTCGAATAAACAATAGGCATAAAATGTTAAAGTCTGTAAAACAACGACGATCATGAACAATTCGTAAACAAGTCCAGTAACCAATATTACTTAGTAAATAATTATTTGTATAATGATTAGATTATACATTTTTATGCAACAAAAACAAATTCAAATATTCAATTAATTAAAATAAATATATAAAATATATTTTATTCATATTATAATATGTCAAATTTCATAATATTTGCATAAATTTATATAATTTTATTATGTAAATTTATTTATAATTTTGTTATATTTTTCTATTGAATTCTTCATCTAAAAAAATAACATACATATGCTTTCTTCTGTGTTTTATTATATTGATATCTCCTTCTCCTCATTTTTTCCATAGATAATTCAGAATTTCTTTTAGTTTTCATTATTATGTAACTAGAAGTTTTATTCAAGAAGTACTTAAATTTGTTTACAATATTCAATTAAGATGCAAATGAAATTATTATTAAAAGAAAAATATGTAATTTATTATATGTACATTCATTAAAATATGTATATTCATTATATTCATGTCGTTTATGTAAAATATGCAAAATATGTGTAATATAAAAAATGTGTATTTTTATATTTGCATAAAAATCTGCAGTCTAATAATGATAAAATTATAATATAGGTGTGAAAAAATTTTTTTATAGAATATCCATTTTAAATACATATATACATATATATTTAATATACATACATATATATTATATATACGTATACATAAATATAGAATAATTCTTACAAATTGATCGATTTCAGTTTTCTCAAAAAATGGAAAGAGATACAAAAAAAATAATTCGAATGAAAAATGTTTTGTTTGAGAAATCTTTTGACATATAATGTTATTATAAATAAAGACGGTTAGATAATATCAAGATTAATTCATTTTTTTTATTATTATATTCTTATATTTTATTTGTTGTTGTAAGAATCACTTTATATATGTATTATGTACATGTTACGTGTAATCAATTCATTCCTAATAAAAGGAAATTTCTATCAATTAATCGATTATATCCTTCTTGCTTTTAGATATACAATACTTTCTTCATGGGAATACATGTATAGATATGTATTCAATATGAAATAAGATAAGAAATAAGTACAGAAAAATATTTATTAGAGTGCAGATTCTCTGAGTATAAGATTCCAATTTTATAATATAATACTCCAAAAATATATATATATATATATATATATATATATATATATATAT